ACTGAGTCATTAAAGGGTGAGCTTTGGCGTTATACTTCAACAATATCTGTGACCAAGATGACAACATCAACGCCAATCGTAGATACGAAGATGTTCAGCCCACGTGAAGACTATTACCGGTACTAAGTGTACTGCGTGAGGCCCTGCACCTGTCAGTCACCACCACATACAGTACCCACACCTTGGCCGCGGTCATGACTCACTTGGCCACAATGTTGTTGCTACCACACACCTGAGGGGTTGATCATACCCCCCCCCCCCGCCCCCCTTCACAAACGTAGAAGTAAGAGTTTTTTGTATGCCTCCAGGGTAATGGTGAGGGGGGAGGAAGCTGCATTATCAAGGCATGCAGGGAGTGGTACACCGACCATTAGCGTCTGATGCCACTGTTTATATTTAGGTCGGGACCAGGTGGCTCACACGTCCGGTATTTATATTCCCAGACGGCGCAGACTCCTCCTGACGGCATCATGTTGACGAGGGTACTGACACACTCACACAGCTAGTTAAGAGTAGACCTTGTTGGCCGTCTGGTCCAAACACCAACACTCAATGGAGTATAAGTGACTCCCATGTGTTGTGTCACCCTCGCTTTCCCCGACAGTGAGCGGTGACAGTAATTAAGATCTTCCGTCTGCCTGGTCACACACTCTCCCCTCTGTACATTAGTAAACAAAGACTTCGCAGCAGAGGCAAGAGTTAAGCACGCACCACTAGCTTGTTAACTATCAAGACGTCACTCAACAAATTTACATGAATTACTAGACTGTCCCTCCCAAGCTGGCTCTCGTTAAGCAAAGTGAATTGGTCAATTTTATTCATTTTCGTCTTGTTTTGAAATTTATATTGATTAAAATCTTTCGTCTGATAAATCTGATTAATACCGAGTTAATAATCCTCTTACCGTGTTATTTCTTATCCTATACATTTGGTCAATATATTGTAACCTATACCCAATATCTTAAGGCTGTTCAAGAAATTATTTAACAACCTGATCAACAGTTACGCCAATATTATTTTATAAACAACACTTTTTTTACGTTGCCACTGACTGACTTTCACGTTAATTTAAACATTATATTTTCAAGCAAGAAACGTGCTCGTAAAACACACCTTAATTTTACTTCCCTGTATACCACAAAAGCCTTGGAGACCTCGGGGTCACCTAACACGACCACCACCTCACTGCCCAGGGCAACACAGTCCAGTGCCCTCCCTCACAACCGCCAGCAGGTGACTCCATTACCCCAACAGGTGGGGGCGTGAGAGACGACCAGCTGATACTGTTGGTACCCTGGGGCCTCCCTCCCTCCTACCCAACCGCAACCATCCACCACAAAACCGCACCCACCAATAACTACCATAACCACAAATCACCAAACAATACCCACTAACATCCGTCACCCCATCAATGACCACCAAAACCACCCATCAATCACCACCACCACCCATCAATAACCACCACCATCACCCATCAATCACCACCACCACCACCCATCAATCACCACCACCACCACCCATCAATAACCACCACCATCACCCATCAATCACCACCACCACCCATCAATAACCACCTCACCCCCTAACCCTCCCCTATAGTTCACCTCGGCCACCCACTCAATAGGATGGCGTCACCTACTAACAAGGGGAAGGTGAGCCATTGCACTCTAGGATCACCTGAAGATTACCACCCTCAAGTGTATAGGATAGGATAGGATAGGATAGGATAGGATAGGATAGGTTAGGTTAGGATAGGATAGGATGGTCAATAATGAGGTAACCGATCACGACAATTCTGCCCACTGGGTACATACGCAAAGGTCAAGTCACGACTCTCTCTCTCTCTCTCTCTCTCTCTCAAGACAGTAAGAGGTTAAATCCCACCACCAAGTGCCAACGACTGTCAGATAATCACCCGACTCACGCACGGGATTCAACAGCCATTACGGGGGGATTACAATGCTCTACTCCAAGGCCACACTGGGACACCCTTAAGAGCACAACACAACACCTTCAAGTTCACGAGAGAGAGATAGGTAGGTCACACAAGTTTAAACGACCATTGACCTCTTACCTGACCCCTTCCCCCCCCCCCTTAGGATCTGTCGCCTTCTTAGCTTATGGTAGAACGATCGTTGTTAGCCATCCACAGCGAATCGCCTAGTGGTAAATGTCACCTACCACCCAACCACCATTCACTACCAACCCGCACCAATCGACAAGCTGCTGCTGCACCTACCACCACTACCAACCCGCACTTACCATCAACACCTACCACTATATTTATTACCATCATCAACGCCTCATTATCATCTAACCTCATCACCAGCAACCACAACCACTACAATCAGTACTCACTACCACCCAACAACCAACATCCTGAACCCGCGATCAACCACAACCACCACCCACAACAACCAGTACCCACTACCACCACCCATACTAGTTCCGTCACGCACCACTGGGTAGGTGGCCATTCAGCTAACGGGAGAAATTAAAAAAAAAATATTATTCCATTATATATTTTGTGAGAGGATGAACCACAAGAACGAACACACACACACACACACACACACACACACACGTCACAAGGTTACACTTTTAGATGTACTACCACGAATATCACCTATAGGATACCTGTATAACACCTGTACAAGAAGACCCCCCCCCCCTCCAATGACCCCTGATATAGTACCGTGCTCGTCTCCTGCCAGTTAGTTCAATAACCTACTGAACTATAACTGCTTCCACCTGTTCCCACGCCTTCAGAGACAATCTAGTAACTTCCCGTGTTTCTTATTGTATTGCAAATATCAATAATCTCCCAGGGGTAATGTGTGTTAAAGTATGTAACTCACAAAGTTTTACTAAGCCAAAGTATACAGCTCACAAAGTTTGACTGAAGTCCAAGTAATCGTTTTGAAAGTTTCATCACCTGTCAGGACTCTTTTATTTCCCTGTGTGGGTCTGGTGTAGGCAGAAAACTCCATATCAAATGTCAATATCGACTGACACCTCCACACCCACCCCCCCTCTCAATGGCGGGTTGGTCTGACGCCATCGCTGAATGAGGGACACACACACACACACACACACACAGAAGAACGAAGTAACCCAAACTAATCTTTAATTCCTCTTTACTAATCTAAGTTAATCCCTAATCGCCAATAACTAATCATTACTAATTACTTGATCATTATACTTTATTCTCGATTTCCTCATAATTTCCTAATTCCTTTTTCCAATCTCAAGCTTACTACGACGACTCCCTCTTATCCATCTCCCAATCCCCTCTACCCACCTCCCAATCCCCTCTTATCCATCTCCCAATCCCCTCTTATCCACCTCCCAATCCCCTCTTATCCACCTCCCAATCTCCGCTAAAGGATTCGGTGATCAGCCCCCATGTAATTCAGACCTTAGCCAGTGATCACGTATCCTACCGAAGGACACCCACACGCGGGGGATTCTGTTGTCCTACGAGATCTATGGAGTCCTTCGGGGATTCGATATGTACTATAGGAATCGGTAATGTCCCACTGTAACCAATATTGTCCCACATATACAGGTGTGGGAGACTACAGGTACAGGTGTGAGAGACTACAGGTACAGGTGTGGGAGACTACAGGTACAGGTGTGGGAGACTACAGGTACAGGTGTGGGAGACTACAGGTACAGGTGTGGGAGACTACAGGTACAGGTGTGGGAGACTACAGGTACAGGTGTGGGAGACTACAGGTACAGGTGTGTGTGTGCCAGGCTACAGCTGAGGAAGGCTCCAGACATAAGAGTGTGTGTGTGTGTGTGTGTGTGTAAGAGGGCAGGAGTGAGAGTAGGCAGGCAGGTAGGGTGAGGTGAGGTAAGGCGGGGTGAGGTGAGTACACTGGCGCCTGGTACAGAGGTGGAGGCGCCTGGGTGGTGGTGGGGGCAGTGGTGGGGCGCCGGGGTGTGGTGGGGGCACCGGGGTGGTGGTGGTGGTGCGCCGAGGTGGTGGTGGGGGCGCCTGGGTGGTGGTGGGGGCGCCGGGGTGGTGGTGGAAGGCGCCTGGGTGGTGGTATGGTGGTGGGGGCGCCTGGGTGGTGGTGGTGGTGGTGGTGGTGGGCGCCTGGGTGGTGGTAATGGTGGTGGGGGCGCCTGGGTGGTAATGGTGGTGGGGGCGCCGAGGTGGTGGTGGGGGCGCCTGGGTGGTTGGTGTCGTTAGCGCTGCCCCACTTTGTCTCTTGTCATCGATATTGATTCATCATAATTGTACCCATTCCACGCCCATTGACTTTATACCCATAAGGAGATGACCAGACGATAGCTACTGCCCTTTCTAACTTTAATCAGGTAATTTTTTTTTTCGTTTGTCCTCAAGTCTTAAAGAGGTTTGTTATTACTTAAAATTATATGTTTAGTATTACTGAGTCTCGTTACGTTAAATATGAATGCTTATATGCTTCGACTAGGTAGTTTTCTGCTGTCAAATTAAAATATGAGTAATACCTTTAACGTCTCTTTAGAAGATATTTTTGTCTACTCAACTTAATTAAATAAGTTGAATAGCTATATCAGGTTGTTTTTGTTGGCTGCTTAATTCAATTTAATCATTCCACCTGGTTATTTTTGCAGACAGTCAGATATATTTAACTCCTTCCTCAGTTCCAGATCACTGACTTGAGATTGTTTAACTTTTATAAGATTAAAAGAAGAGAACTCAACTCCTGAGAACAAGAACTCAAGACGGGAATAAATTAATCTCGGAGGGAAGGACGTGAGTATGACTTGAGGATACTACTTGGGAGGCGAACAGCTCACACACCCTGAGGGCATCCGGGCAGAACAGAGAGAGAGAGAGAGAGAGAGAGACATACTCCCTCTCTCTATACTTGATACAGTCACTAATAATAGCATACGTTTCATAATATTAGCTCTAATACTCACCTTAAGACTACAAACTACTAGTACATCATAACCTCTTAACCACTACACCAACTACTGTCCTTATCACTGGTACTTACATTCGACGTGGTTCTCGACTTCTGAGGCCCTCTTGTTCTTCTTTCTCCTAAATGAAGCTCGTTTTGGGAGGGGAGTGCCATGAGGTGTTGGCATACGGTGGAGAGGCGTTCGAGGTGACCCATTGAGAGGCGCACACAGCTCTACCTCCGACTGGGTGGGGGACAGCCGCTTGTGCTTGGCCTTCAACCCGAAACACGCAAACATTTTCGATCTTGGGACCTTACTACAGATGAATACCCCCAAAAATATATAACCTTGTATCTAATTTAGTTTATTCTTTAATATTTCTGTTCGTATTGGTACAAGGGATTTTTTTTTCTCGATATTATAACAGTTACAATATCTTAGATCACCACTAGTTTCTGTGTATGCTTAAATCAACAGATGTCAAAGGTTCCACCCCCTAAAAAAATGACCGGATCTTTTCTCTGTTGTTGTGTATCTGTCTGTATAATTTATTCCAGAGTTTATTTATAAGTTACTGTACACGTTAGGTTGTTTTGGCACATAGGATTCTTCTTAAAGTTTCGTAGAGAAATATTCATAATCCATACGACACTCAATTGAAGACTATCGAGGAATAGGAAGAAGAAGAAGAAATGGAGGGTCTGATAATGGAAGGAATGAGAAAGGTAGTAGGCACTGACGGTAAAGGGAGGAGAGGAAGGGAAGGGAAGTCTCGATTCACTTTACAGGAAGAGACACCGAGGAGGAAGAGGAGGCGGAGGAAGAGTAAGGCACATAAGAGGATAAATGAAGGACACTAACAACAGAAAGATGTCGCTTGGAGTCAGTGGAGTGGCGGTGATGGTGGCGATGAAGGGGCAAGTCCGTCCGGATCTTCTTCCATCTTCGTGTGTAGGGAAGGGAGCCAACTAGCCGCCTCAGTGTGTTTCCTCACTCGTCACTCTCCACTGTTTCGTCTTATCTACACAAACATTATTATTTTATCAACACTTTATTTCCTTCCTTTGATCTTATATTATTTATCAATTATGCTCTGTAGGGGGGACAAAATTCGTGAGGGTAATTAAAACTGAAGAAATAAATAAGTTCCTTTACCTTGTAGTTACTTATATAAATACACGAAAAGTCAAACAATATCTCGACTCCATCACGAGGAAGAATACACAATAAATAAATCCAAGATCGTAGGGTAAACTGAGATTATGTGGGTGATGCGCCACAGTGAACGGACGACTACGGCCAGACAACTTACAAATGGCTCAATCAACACCAGAGAGAGAGAGAGGACTGAAGGAGAGCCAGTCACTAGCAGCAGGGAAGGTCTTAAGGATGATAAACGCAGTGAACTTAAATACACACACTAGTTTAGGGCGTCTTAAGAGGTGATGTGAGCGAGCTGGGGTCCTCACACCACTGGAAAGTTAGTGACGAGATAAAGAACGACTCACAGATAAGCGATAATGGTGGGTATGGAGTGAGAAATAATAAATAATAAATCGTTTAAAACACAGTCACTTGAACACACACACTAACGTACAGTATAATCAACATGGTGGCAGGCGTCTCAGTTAAGTGTGTGCCATTTGACCGTCTCTTATAAAACGGTCCAATAACGATGCCCCTTTATTTTTTTTTTATCCGGGACGCTGCATTGAACACGTCAGCGGGTCGTCTCCATTACTGAATTAAAAGAGCGAGAATAGCATCACCACCTTCGGATAATTGAAGCGATATACTGAAGGTAAAAGGGAGGCAAGTCTTAGCGATTCTCGAGACCTTTCAAAGACCTTATGAGATTATCCTCAGACCTTTTAATATATTCTTCCCAAAGACCTTACGAGATTATCCTAAGACTCTTAATATAATCTTCCCAAAGACCAAAGACTACACAAAATATCCCAAAGATTTTCAGTCATATATTCTGACTAGATTTTTGGCAGTGGGACCAAAGTTACCAGAGAAAATAAATGGCTTTGAGTGTGTGTGTGAGTGAGTGCGGGTGTGTGTGTGTGTGTGTGTGTGTGTGTGTGTAAGACGAGAAAGGAACAGGTATATAGGGTTGCAGGCCCAGGTGATGCCACTCCACACAACAGGTTTGGGACAAGTGGAAGTCGCTCACTAAGGATTGATTTCTCCACCTGAGTAAGCGAGTGTCGTGAGTGTTAGTGAGTCATCCACAGCCAGGGCAACACTAGCGGGGAATTCTAAAGCACATGCACACAATTACCTGACCAGACACCATGCAACACTATCTGATAAAGAATAGACGTGAATATGATGTAAATATCAATATCATATATATATATTAACGCAATAAGATCATCAACAATCCAGATATCAACTCACATACATAATGGGGATATAATCTTATAAATAATCCCGTATATGAGGATAAATATTAATAACTTGGGTAATAAACAGTACACAAATCTAGTGCTTAATGTTGGAAGTTAAAAATGGTTCTTGATAAGTAGCTTTAGACAACGACCTGGGATATATACTTCAACTGTCCAATACTATTCGTCAATCAAATCTTGGCAGACAGCATGGTGGTCAACAGGGCCATCACAGCACATGTCTCAGGGAGTTTAGAACACCACATATGTATAATTAAGTACAGTTTATATATATCAAGTACTCTCAGGAGGCATTTAATGTTAACCAGCGAGTATAGCTGTTCCAAACATCGTACACCTTATGAGTCCAGTTACAGCGTGTGTAGTATAGTGACCCACGACCATATAACGAAGTAATCAAATATACACCACCGTCCAACACAGCCACATGGATGAGTAAACATACCACATCCACCACCGTCCAACACAGCCATATGGATGAGTAAACAGACCACATACGCCACCGTCCAACACAGCCACATGGATGAGTAAACAGACCACATACACCACCGTCCAACACAGCCACATGGATGAGTAAACAGACCACATACACCACCAGTCCAACACAGCCACATGGATGAGTAAACAGACCACATACACCACCGTCCAACACAGCCACATGGATGAGTAAACAGACCACATACACCACCGTCCAACACAGCCACATAGAGTAAACAGGAGTCAATACAACACAGCACAAAGATACGCCAACAGCCATATGGATGAGTAAACAGAGTCACACAGCCACACTACACCACCGACCACCAGCAGCTCGCCAAACACCGGATGAGTAAACCGTCCAACACACACCATAAAGCGAAGTGAATACAGCAGTTGGATGAGTAAACAGTCGAGGCCATTGGATGAGTAAACAGACCACATACACCAGCCACATGGATGAGTAAACAGACAGAACACAGCCACATAAGTCAAGATGTAGGACCACAGCAGCAGGAGGCAACAACGCCGCAGTCGATAAGAAGATCATGGTCATGGTCGTAAACTACTCTTCATTAAGAACCTCTGAGCCGAGAGATGTGTAGACTAGTTTGGTTGGTGCAAGGACGGTATGAGGGCGCCCTTGTCCAGGTAGCTAACTCCTTATATTGACGGTGGGGAATACCTGACCTCTGTACCACACCTCTCTCACCTTTCTTTCTCATCTCTTGTAATCTGTCTCACCTACAAATGATATTATCTTTTTTCTCACCACAGTCTTGATTATATCCATCTCTCCCTCCCCATAAATGTCCTTCTCAAAATCCTTACTTGTTTAATTGTCACGTTTGTCCCGGTGTTACCTTTCTCACCTGTAATTTGTCTCTGTCTCACATCTCTACCTGTTAAACTTGCTCACTTGTTCCATATCAGCTCTCTCTCTCTCTCTCTCTCTCTCTCTCTCTCTCTCTCCATAACACACACACACACTTCTGAAGTATCAAAGCTAACACACTCTGGATACCTAGATTATCTACGATACACTTACCAAAACCTCAAAACACTTAGGATATGACGTGAACACTGACATTTTGGATAGTTCGTACATAAACACTTATATCATCGAATACTTAAGAACATGTCAAGGGAACTTTCAGACATAAACAAACTGTAGTGACTTGAGCTGTTATCTGGGACACCAATATACAACACACCTCAACAATAATCCCCCTGACTGACAGATCCATCCTCCCTCCTCCTCACCTTGGATGGCTTAATAAAGACATCACTCGAAGACTTATCTGCGTCACCACACACACACACAGAATCAAGCCATCAAGATCCTGGAGTTGATCCACTGACCGCCACACTCACTCAGATATAGTAATGTTATATCAGGTTACGAGGACCTAGTTTGAGCTGTCTGGGGGTCACTTTAAGAGCCTTTCACAATCACATGACGGCGTAGATCAACTTAAACTTCGTCCCTGAGTGAAAAATAACTACGTCATGTTACTTGTGTCATCCCGGCTCAGGAGTTGTGTGATATAGGGTCCAGGAACGAGTGTGGGGGATTATATGAAGCAGTGTCGAGGTTTATTGTATGTTATTGAAGGTGGGTTCAGTTTCCCGTCATAAGAGTGTCCACGAGGCCGGAACACTGTATAATTATGATGTTATTACTCCCCAAACTCTTCTTGGATTAAGATAACATACATAACAGGAGATAATAACTTTGTTTGAGTTATCGTATTCACAAGTTGCTGCCCAAACACAGAGTGATACCCTTAAATTATTCCCACCGTCGCTGTTCAAACCTTACAATAATTACTAATATATCCAGACACTCCTTACTCCCCCCCCCACCCCTCCCCTCTTGTCTCCAGGTGCGTGACGAAGCAAGACTGATTGATCGGTGTGGCGGGGGAAAAGGTAGCGTGTCTGGTGTTAGTCATTGTCTGGGGGCACCCGCTGGGTCACTGTCTGGGGGCACCTGCTGGGGGCACCTGCTGGGGGCACACTCGGGACCCCATTGTGCTTCCTGTGTGAGGGGGTCTCCTATGGTAGCACCTTCCGGAGAGTCTTACAAAGAAACCATCATCCCTAACCACAGTGACTCTCGTGGTGGTAGTTGGGGAATGCGAATACATCTTACTGGTCACCATAACCCACGATAAAAAGATGGCCTATAGAATAACATCGATACTACACACAGCGTTATTTGATACCTTCTCTTATATAACATCTGGACACATAACTATGGTAGCACTGAGACTCGTGACCCAGGAGGGAGTCGCTGTGTCAGGTGCCACCGCAACACCAGTGTCCGACACCATCACCACCCACCAATTAGCTGTTAACCTGCCGCCCATACTAATGACCCCCTCGACCTATTCGTACTCTTACTTGCATCGTGAAAACTGTCATTGGTTCGTAAAGCTCTAAGGCACACACTGATATCAGCTTCTCTTTTTCTATGTAAATCCAAAACGTTCGTAAGAAAGTGTTTGTTTACCTTCGAATGTGTTTTGCATACGCCCCCGTGTACTAACCACTTCCTATACACACACATGAAGCATTAGTGGACAAAATTACACTGATCATTTATTTCGATCCCAACAACATAGGTTAGGTTAGGTTAGGTTAGGTTAGATTAGGTTAGGTTAGGTTAGGTTAGGTGAAATCTTGTATATATGGTTAGGTTAGCATGGTGCCTCTTTTTCCTCTCTTTCCCCTTCCTCTTGTCCTTCCCGTACCTATTCTTCCTCACTTTAATCAAATAATTCTATCTAATCTACCTAATCCCTTTCCTTTCTTCTCTTCCCCTTTGTCTTATCCATCTTCCGTCTTCTCCCCCCTTCCTCTTTATTTTTTTCCATCTCATTCTTCCTCCCAATATTTTTCTCCATCTTATTCTCCCTCCTTCCTCTTCCCTCCCTTCGCCTGGTCGTGACTCAGGTGTGTACTCTCTCTCTCTCTCTCTCTCTCTCTCTCTCTCTCTCTCTCTCTCTCTCTCTCCATATAATGAGAGTATAGAAACCAGATCCAGTCGCAGCGGATCCCAAGTTAACTAATGTGTGAATTGGAGCCTATTGTGGGGAGTAATAGTGTACTAAGGGGTAGTCTATTAGGGGGGGTAGTCTATTAAGGGGGGGGTATTCTTCTACGGGAGGTATAGTCTATTAGTGGAAGCGGGTCC